GGTTAGGAAAGGGAATCGGGGATGGGTGCAGGGAAGACTCCCAATATTGTAGTGGTGTTACATAAGTATGTGATGTGCCCACAGTTATGGGACTGTGTATAGTCCTCCTCATTGTATCTCAAAAAGAGTTCTAGGATTAAAAAAAAATGTTATTTAAGGGAAGAGTTATGGTGCTTGCAAATTCACAAAAGCACCAAAAAGTACGGACAGATGTTGCACCTCAATTCATAAACATACACAGCTTATTTCACATACAGGCACAGTAATTGGCATCCCGTGCCAACAGAGAGCAGCACAAATGTGTACAGTCATAGTACGCAAACACATGAGTGGTATTTCACATGGAAATTTACGAAATAGCACTTCATCTATGAAGCTATCCAGCGGTGCTGTATATGCAAAAACAGGCAGCTGCTTATCTCATGCAATCACATTCAGTTGCATGTTCCATATAGAAATGTGAGTATGCACACACACAATACTTTTATATATAATATACAAATATAAATGCAGTGTCACTTATAAATTTACATGCCTCGTGCAACTGTATACAAATATAGGTAACAGCAAATTATATGCAAACAACTGATATGCATAAAGCACTTCAAACAAATAATACACATGGACAAACTGTAGCATTTCACTCTTTTACTTCAATAGCATGCATGTTGAAGCATTTTGTAAACACAGCTGGAGCAGCTGGCCCACCCCTTGTCTATTGCCATGCATGAGTGATGCCTCCTTTCTCCAACATTAACTATTTTCTTTTGGGAAACAGGCTCTGTAAGAAAAGTTTAAATCTACCAAAATATGTGAGTCACATTCCCATCCTTAGTTAAATGACTGCTAAAATAAAAGTTTGAAACTTTGCATCTTAAATAATATATAACATTTGTGCATGTAGGTGGTTAAGGGCACACCAGTGGAATATCTAAACTGTCAACAGGGAAAATTTAAGATACTGATTTGGGTCGAAACAAAAGTGATTACAGACAGTGTGAAAGTTGCAATGCAAAGGCACCTTGGAATTGCAATATAACTCAGCCATTATTAATAACTGAGTCTGTTTCTCCTCTCCCAGAAATTTGGTCAGATTATACCAAATATTAAGCAGATAAGATGATATGGTTTCTAAAGTTTTAAATAAAGAAATAAATAACATTGTGAATAGCTTTGTAGTGAATGGAGATTTTCACGCATAATACTAGAATTTAGGGTCACTCGGTGAAACTGATTGGTTGATTACAGAGAACTACACAAATGCATAGTCAATTTCTGAATGGATATATGTATTGTGGTCATTGAATAATTTACAAAAATGAAAATACACAATATTTGTCACATCTAGTTGAACTGTCACATGCAACTAATGCAGTTTAACCATTAATATGGAACTGAACCAGGACTATTGCTAAAGCAAGTACATGTCAACTGAGGGTTGTTCCCAACAGATGTCCCTTCAGTGTTGGAAAGCAACTTCATCCAGTTGAGGCTTTGACCAGTGGAAGAGGGATGAAGGCAAATTTTCAGCAATTCCTCCCCTCCTGCACCCCTCTGAATCTCCCTGAGTTTTAGGGAACCCATCAAAATAGCACTGGATGTGATGTGGGAGGCTGGAAAGAGGGGGAATTGCTCAAAATCACCTCTGCCCCCATCCTGTTATGCTGATTTTTTCTAGATCATAGAGACAACTTCAGTGGAGGGATACCAACTGAATACAACCCTGAGTTTTTAACTGTAATTCTCAGTAGCAGCAAAGAGATTATCAGCTGACTTGTAAAACACCAATGATCTACCAGCAAATCTTGTGAAAAGAGTTGAAATTAATTCTCTCTTAGTATCATGCTAAAAATTACTATGAGCGATTCTTACAATTCATGTCTGTAGAGTAGGTAATTTATGGAATTCATAGCCATCTGATGGAGTGATGGCTATCAGCTTCAGATGGTTAAGAAGAGGGGTATAAAATGCATAGAGAGCATATCTATCAGTGGTTATTGGACTGCATTGGACTTCCATGTTAGCAGAATTCTGATACTCATGGACAAATCTGTCAATTTTGTTATTTCTCCATTTCTCATATTTCCATTCTTATGTTTGGTTCATCAGAAATTTGAGAATATCTATTTTAAGGTCACATGAAAAGTTCATAGGCATTTTTGTGCATATTTCTCTTAATTATGCATTTTGTATACATTTTGCCTAATGTACATCACTTAATGAATTTTAAATATTATTTCTCCTAATATATGCACTTTCATGTACATGCTTTCATTGGCGAACGCTATTGCAGAATTCAGAAAAGTATGAATTTTGAAAGATAACAGTTGTGGTTTGCATAGTAGTTTGAAAGTGTAAGATTAGGTATATTTACATTAAAAGGAGAACAAGGAGCATTTTTCTCACCCCGGCTTGGGAGCAAGAATTTCTTTACATGCTGCTTAAGGGTTTCTGAAGGGGCAGCTGGTTATTCACTGTTGGAAACAGCATGCTGGATTAGAGACACTTTTGGCCAAATCTAGTGTTCTTAGATAGTACAGTGTGTGCCTGAACTCAAGATTGTCTACATTGCTGACATATTTGTTCAGCAGTAGTTTCCTGCTCACCCCTGAAATCTATATACATAGCAGTTGCTTTGGCATAGAATAAGAAATTAAAATGGCTGTGGCTTCCCTCTTAGTATAGGGAAAAGCTGCAGGAGCAAAAAGCTGCCCCAGGAAGCTATCTATTCTGTATAGCTCTAAAAATTATACAGAATCCTTTCAGGATCTGATCCTGGCAACCTGAATGACTTCTTGCTGGTGACAACATGAGTAAGTGTCTTACTTGATGGAAAAGCAAATGAAGAGAAAAAAGAGTATCTTGGGGAGGAGGCTCTTATAAATGAACTGTCAAATGAAATAAAAATGAAAGGAAACTCTCCTGGAGTAAATGCACAGTTCTGGCACTTCTAATAAAAATCAGGGCCCTGGAGGAATTAATTACACCAGCATTACAGAAAGAATTTATGGAATTGCAAAATGTAGTGGCACAGACCAGCACGAGCTGCTGTTGCAAATAGGGAAACTGCGGGAGAGTCTTCTCAATTTCTGAGTTGATATGCAGGACATTGTAGTCGCATAATAGCAGTTCAGACACTCGAATGAATAATAGTATTCAGCGGTAATGACAAATGATATTACACATACTTTGCAACTGAACTCATTCGACTTTATTTCTTTGTTTATGTGTGCTTGTGTGAATGTGTTATAAGAAAAAATAGATTTCTCAAAGGAAAATGATAGAAAATATTTTTAATGGATTTAGTTATAATTAAATTTAGAAAAGAAGTTTGATTTTTTAAAATAGCCATTTGGTGAGGCATGTATTTAAGTATGCTGGGATATGTACTGAATGGTTTGCAGGCTATTTTGAGCACACACCAAGGCTTTTCTCATGAAAATATTCTTGTAGGCTGAAGAACATGAACCGATTGAATGCAGAGTAGCAGAACAGGGTCATGTGCTTGGGCTATGGGACAGTATAGAAATGAAATTAGTAACAGCAGCAACAACGAGGGTAGACTGGAAGAAATCCTTGGTAGTTTTAATGAGATCCAGTGATTTTGCATTGTCTACCTCTGACTAGGGATATGGGGGAATTTTCTTAGGTTTGCATTTAATGGGTATTTACCTAATTTTGCACATTCAGACAAAATGAGAACTACAGCTCAAGCATCTTTATAGAAGTCACACTTGTTCACATTTTGCAGTGGGGTTTTCCAAAAATGTATAGAAAGATGTATATATTGGTGGAAGCTACATTAAATGTATAATATTAGGCATACAAAAATACATCCATTGGGATAAATGTGCATAACGGTGCTTATGTCCTTTGGTCATTACTAAGGTGTTCTGAGCTGTTTGCCGTAGAGCAAGACTTGCTTCCTAAAAGCTTCAAAGAAGTGAGAGATTTTCAAGTGTTAATTTCTCCACCCAAATTATGTCTTTATGCAGTGAGCATCTGCCTAGATAATTCGGGAGCAACGTATAGAAGCTATATTCCTAAACTATTGTTTTAGGGAAGATAAAGCCAAAGGAACATACAAATTGGTCTTGCAACTATTTTTTCCTTTTTAAATATGATTTGCCATTTTCTTAAAAGCAGGTGCTATACTAATAAAACTAAGATTATTTGCCTTATAAAATTTCAATCAGAATAAAAAGATAAAGAAAATTGTTTGTGTTTGCAGAGTTCGTAACTAGTTCATACATGGCTGAGCCCAGTTTAAAGTTCAGGTGCTCAATTTTTTCTTAGTGTCAAGCTACTTTATGTTGCAACATTAATCACTTATCCTGATAGCTGTCTCAGTTAATTAACTATGTAATGTAGTTTTCGTTAAGGACTTAAAATAGTCCTCCAAAGCAACAAGCTACTGTTATCTTTTAATTGATTACAATTGTGTATAATAATTTTTGTTTTTTTGCAGAAATAAGCTTTGGGCTGTATCCAGTGCAGTACTAATAGAAAAAAATAAGAAATGACATGGTTCCACTAGTACTAGTGGAAGAACTAGCACAACCATAATTTACTAGTGTTAATGCCACTAGAATTCTTGAAACAAATGGCACACAGATGACTTGTACTGTGAAAGTATGTGTGCAGGCAGAATCAAAGTATTGGATTTGATATGTGTTCAATAAGCAGTAGATGTTGGAACTCGTAGAATGACATCATTGTATAGAACCCTGTATGTGTAATACTTTGCAAGACATTTTGAAAACTCTGAAGGGTGCTATATTATATTCTTCTCTAATGTCCCTTTCCCCTCCTTCCACCAGGCCGTCTTTCTTAACTTCAGACTTACAAAAAGTTGGATGAGTTAACAAAATAATATTTTGCTTTGGATTGACTTATATTTGTTTTTGAAATGTTTAAAAAAGAAAATAATAATATCGCTTCTCTATAAAACAAATCCTTTGAACTGAGTTTAGTTCTAACTTTAAATATTTTCATAACAGTGACAATTTATACCAAATGACCTCACAACTTGAATGCATGACATGGAATCAAATGAACTTGGGATCTACACTTAAGGGGTAAGGTTTTTGTTTTTTAAAAACCTTTTCAATTTTATACTGTAGAATTATGAAGTATTTTATTTTTGGATTACAGATGGAATAAGGCAACTGTTATCAAAATATTAAGGTTCATCAGATGTGGAAATCTGTCATTGAAAATAATGAACATAAAAACCACAACCTACTATCTATGTTATACTCTGCAAATGCTCCGTAAAGCCAAGATGTTAAAGGGCATAAGAGAGCAATATTTTCTCCTTTGTTACTCTTCTTTTCCTTTAAATTAGTGGTGTCTTTTGAGAGTGCCATTTAGGGGTGAATGGCTTTATTTTTATTTCTGACAAAGAATGCTGCTCCCAAAAGCACATCTATGCATTCTGCTTTCACTTAACATTGGTGCAATCCTGTTCATATCAATGGCCATATACTTATTCTGCAACCTTGTGTATTAGAAGTAAATTCCTCTGGGATCACTGGGAATTACTGTCAGGGATGAGTGTGTTAGGATGGCAGCCTGATATTCCCACAAACATCTTGGTAATGGCATCACTGAAGTGCACTGGTGATGCAGGTGGGATTGCCAGCCTTCCAGAAACACAGTGGACCAAGCTTTTTCTCCTGGGATTTTCTGAACAGTTACTAGAATAGAAAAGGGAACTATTCCATCTACTTCTGGTCAGTTTTTTTTTAAAAGGCATGTTCTTATACTGAACAAGAAGAGCTATAAAGCACAAATCATAAGTTCCTGGTTCCAGCCACATTGACTCCAGATGGACAGTGCTGTAGCCTACACCTTTCCTTTTCTTCATCCCTTGCCACATTTCTTATTTTAATCTTCCTCTCATTTCTTTATACTCTTTCCACATCGCATATCCTTTTATTACCTTGCATTATCATAGGCCTTACATCCTTTGGCTTTGCTTTTCCGCTCTCCCTCCCATTTTCCTTAGCTTCCTCCCTACAGACAGTGTTCTTTCCACCTGTAGGGAGTGACCTCCAAAATGATTGCTGCTTGTCCAGAAATGATTTCCTGTACCCTGGAAGCAGGAAGGCCTTCTTGAAGAAGTCACAGGCTGCTAAAGTAAAGCTATTTGATGAGATTATAGACAGGATATGGGGGCTGTTATGGACACTGTTTTCTTTTCTTTCCTGAATCTTGGTCAGGGTGGGAAGATGAAGGTCATTACAAGGGTGCTTATAGGAGGACAGCCGACAGAATTTAACAGACTAGATGGAACTGAACCTTAGGATTGAATGACTTAAAAGTATGTTGTTGATATAACAAGTATTTAGTTTATTGATCTGTAGTCTCTTTGAAGTAGAATGCATTCCAACAAATATAAAAATGCAGCGTTATGCTTTAAGTAACTGACATTATAATTGCTTTTAACATTACCCCACCCTCAGCAAGGATTTTAGTTAGAATTTCTGAGAGCATAGCTAGAGTAATCTGGCTTTTAAAAAAGTGGATCAGGATTAATAAGAATCACCTAGTATTAGCATGTTGAAAAAAAATCACTGTCTTGAAGAAGGGCAAATTCCCTATTCCAGTTCAAATATAATCCAAATATAAGGATAATATATCAAATTACAATATAATGTAAAATATTCAATAAAATGATTTAAACTAAAATCGACTAAACCAAAATAGGGTCAAATTTAAAACCAGGTAGCCATTAAAATCGATTGTTAAAATAACTGATGAAAAGGTCTTTGCCTGGTGCTGTAATGCTAACAATGTCAGCACCAGAAGTGCCTTTCTAGGGAAACTGTTCCTGAGGTGGGGGCAATTGCCGAGAAGGCCCTGCTTCTAGCCAGCATCTCCCTCACCTCCCTAGGGGATGGCTGCCTAAGAAAGACATCCTGGATCGATCTTTATAGATGGGTAGGGACATATGGGAGTAGAACATCTTTCGGTACCCAGGACCCAAGCTGTTTAGGGCTTTACATTTAAGTACAAGCATTTTAAATTGGGCCCAAACTTCCACTGGTAGCCAGTGTAGTTGGTATAGAACTAGTCTGATGAGGACTCTCAAACTAGTTCTTGTTAGTGATCACTCAGCCCTATTTTGACCCAGCTGGAGTGTCCAGACCATCTTCAAAGGAAGCGCCACGCAAAGTGTGTTATAGTAATCCAATCGGGATGTTACCAGGGTGTGCGTGACTGTGAATAGGTTTTATCTGTTGAGATATGGCCGCAATTAGTAAATTGGGCACAGTTGGAGGAAGGTCCACCTGAGACTCAAGTGAGAGTTTTGGATCCAGGAACATTCCCAGAATTGCACACCCTATAAAATATGTAGACATATTTTATATAAAAGCCCTGGGATGAGTTGGCCGAATAAAAAGTATTATGGTGATAAGAGTTAAATAAAAATAGAATGTAAGCAATGTGAGTTTAACATGAACCTAAACAGAAATAGATTAATGGGGGTAGACTAGCATGTCCCTGGAAGCCTTCACCAAAATACAGAAAGTCTAATAATAGGTAGTTTTATTAGGTAGTATTTTTATTATTCAAAATTATTCATATCTCTTAGTAATTCTTATAAAAACCCTGAAAAAGTATGTTACTATTATGATCCCATGAGCAGATAGAAAGGAGAGAAAAAATAATGGCTTGCAAAGGCCAACTTAGTTTGCAGACCTCTTCTTACTTATCTAAGATGAAATCTCATTGAACTCAAGGGGGCACACATTTACGCAAACATGTGTAGGATAGTGCTGTTAGTAAATTCAAGGCTCTGGTAAAGTTTCTTGATTCACACCCTAGTCTTATCAGCTACTCCTCATGCACATCTCCTGGATATGTATATATTAAAATATTTCTATATTGCCTTTTATCACATGCCCTTGAGGCAGTATGCAATGCAAAATTTATAAACAGCTTCAAAAATAAACTTAAATGTGGAACAACAAATTATGTGCAGGTGATGCTGACAAATAGCTTGTCATTCATAGTCATGAAATGTTGCACAAAAAATGAACATCTTCTTGACTCATGAAAGTTGAACGGTCTGATCCTCCTAGATATTTAATGTCCCAAGAGTGCCATTGAAGATTGTTTCCAAACAAACAAATCTTTCAATCTGTAGTAAATCCTACTTTAAAAATGAATCGTCAGTTTGGTCAGCTGTCAAAGTTATCTTCTCCCATAACTGTGGGGTAGCTTGCACTTTTGCATGTTCTGTGCTGGTAGATGAGTGCAAAAATGAGGGCATCCTTAGGACACACAGGACCCCTACAGAAACCCCCTGAGGATCTTGCCACAGAGAGAGTGAATGAGTTGCAAACCCTTTTTTGCAAGCTAAGACCACATGCAGTTTTGATAACATTTGAACTTGCCCTTTGAAAACTATCAGGTGTAAGCAAAGGGAAAAAGAAACTTACCTGGTGTTTGGGGCAATGCCAAAGATGGGTATCTGCTGGGCTTTGCCAGCAGGCATCACCTTGCATATTGTCCACTTGAGGCTGCCTGTCCTGCTGCCCAGGCAAGTGGGAATGTTCACAGTTGCACAAGCAGAGGTATTTTTCTTTAAAAATGCAAACATTTGCAAAAATTAATTGGAAACAATTTTTAAATAATGTTAAATTTTGGGCAACTATGAGTGATCCTGCCAAGGTACTTCTGAGGCACTTTGGAAGGACTACCCACAGTTGTCAAAATAACAGGGGAAAAAAGTTTAACTGAGTTGGGAAAGCCACAGCGAGCCCAAAACAGCTTGGGCTCATGGTGCAATGTGGGGAAGCCAGTGCCAACTGCTCCTGTATACCACTTGGGCCCTTTCAGGGTGGTGGGCACTGGCAGTCTCCCAAAAGCAGAAAGCAGATTTTTTTTCCTGCGGTTGCCAAGGGACACGGTGGCTGATTCCTTGTACCCAATTGGACAACCCACTGTAGGCACAAAACCCCCTGCAACAACCATGGGTTCTTAGGTTGGCTTTATTGCTTATGAAAAAGCCACCCTGGGGAAACTAGTATGGGTTTCAATGTCACAACAATCCATTGTAATTCCAGTAGTCTAACCAGGATGTGACTAAGCAAGTATCATTCTAGCCAGAACTTCCTTTGTCAGATACAACAGCCACAGCTGGGTAGAGGCAAACCTCCCGGCCCTAGCCTTTACCTGGGCATCCAGGGACAGTGCAAGGTCCAGAAGCATTCCCACTCTGCCCAACTAAGAAGTAATATCTCCAAAGCAAGGTCAGGCTATCTGCTGACCAGCAAGACCTCTGCCTTCTCTGAACTGAGCTAGAGCTTGTCAACCCACATTCAGTCCTTTATGTGCTCCCAAAAGCTTCAAATCCAGATATATTTAAACTAATACTAGAATATTTAATTAAAGAGGTTAATAAAAGAGAATCATTACTCCAGATGACTTTATAACTTTATCAAATTGCCCTTTAATTTTTTCCTGTTTGTTCCTTTTTTTGGCAAAATAAAATTCTATGCTTGGCAATTAATGTTGTTGTTATAAGTAGCTAAACAAGTTCACTAGAGAATTACATGTTATATTCACTGTTTGTGATACTTTTGCAGGAGGGGGAAATTGTGTCATTCACTACCTTGAAAAAAGAGACTGGCAACAAAACGTTGTAATGTGCAGTGCGTCCATTCACTATCACTGTCAGCTGTGCAGTCTTTTGTGCAGTGCATTCCCTTTTATTGTTCTGCACATCATTCATTATTCTATGTCCACTGAGCCCACCGAATAAAATCAAGGAATATTTAAAATATATCTGATAAGTATAAACTGTGGCTTGTTTCCCCATGTTGAAATCTCCCACTTTTGTATGGATAGATCTATTTTGGCTTCTTAAGCAACGGACTCTGAACATCAGAAGTATAAAGCATGGTAAAGCCATGTTAAGATGCATGTGCATATTTCAGGGATACATTTTGCAACACAATTACTAGTAATGAATAGATGTTAATTCATACAGTATAGTTTTAAAAATATATGTCAGCTGCTATAGCAGACTTTTATATCCTCTGTTGATTGAACACAGATGGGAACA